ACAAACATTTTAACGCCTGAAAACATTTTTTTTACAATACCAAAACAAAAAAGATTTTAAAGTAAGGCAACGGAACAAACTTTTGATATAGGTGTACAGGCTGAGACACGGCCAAAAGTACCCAATTTTATTCATTTTATTATGTTGCACAAGTTTAGTGTTAGAAAAAGAAAAGAGAAACGGAAGTCCATGACTGTAAATTGTGAAACATATGAAGTTGTTAAAAAAATTTTAAACATTTACCAAAATTACTGCAAATAAAATAAACTAGAATTATTGTGAAATAATAACTTTGCGAAACATATTTAAGTTTAAGAATTTTTGTTGGTCCAGGGTGAAATCGTTTCGCTTAGACACATGTGTTTGGTATCACACACATGGAGTGTTTATTATTTAAACAGAAATATTCTCTTAGCTATCTCCAACTGTCATTTTATTATATTCAAGTTTTAATATTTTAATAAACATATTTCTGATTTACAACTCTAATTAGTTTTGCAGGCATCCCATTTAGTTTCAAGAATGGATTTGACAGTTTTAAGCACTTTAACTAAAGTAAATTAGACCGGTTTATTTCTCAGCAAACTCTACCAGCTACGATATTTTTAACTTAATTAATAAGTTTTATCCTGGACGTTACGATATAGTTTTTCATTACTTTTTCTTAACTAATAATTATTTTTCCAGCAAAATTTGCTTTAACTAATTATGATATAACAACATTATTTGATTTAATCAACTAGTTTTGTCCCGTGAGGTATAAGAATGTTTCCACTATTTTCTTTTAATTAATTTATGGTTTTCAACAACTATTTTTTAATCAATTCTGATAGCCGATTTTGTAAAACTTAATGAATATTTACGTAAATCCGACTTTTAACCAATAAGATCTTAGTAATTTATCTATATTTTCAGGGTAGAAATTAAAATATTCTGTAAGTTTAAGACTATTGGATGATGGTTATGAATGATCTTAGGACTCTACCGTAGAAGCTGTTAATCGCAGACATCCGTAAAATAAACGTGTAAAATGAATTTTAAATTCTAATACTTCCAGTTTATTTTTAAAACGTTTATAAGACAAAATTGAAGTACAGAAAATTTCTTGGAAGAACAGTATTATCCTCATCTCTATTGCTGAATACGAAGGACGAGATTTGGAACGAGTCCATAGGCTATTCAAAAGGAACATTAAACGGAGCTGTTTAGATCCTTCTTCATTTCTTGCGTTAGCGAATTTAACAAACATGAGCAGATGGTGTACATCTGTCCGGTTACACATCACCTGCAATTTAATGGTTACTTGCATTTCGAACTCCGCCCCTGTGTTGCACGCAGAGGTCGACGTCCGTCCTTGCAACGATAATTTTGTCTGCAAACCCCATTTTACATGGTATGCGGAACACAGAGGATGCCACTGACTCGTATGGCACAATGCCAAGAGTAATGATAACCGATGAAGTCCATGAAACAGTTTGGTATAGCTTTACCTACAAACACAGTAGGGGGGTCACTAGGTTGGTTTTTGTATGATAGTTTAGTACAGCTCAGAGGTAGCAACTTTCCCATACAAGTTAATACTTAAGTCAGTCATTGGCCTGCTATTCCATTGCTTGTTATAATGTGCAATATATAATATAAGGGAATTCAGACGGTCATCAATACACTACTAAGAGACGGAG